TTTGATCAATTAAAGATCATAGATAATTAATAGTGAAAGATGACTGCTGCTTACTATGGAATCTAAGGAATTATGGAATTACCTTAGGATTCATGGTTTTTTATTAAAAAAAACCATCACCTAGGTGACTAGGCAACAATTAATAGTGAAAGATGGGTTTTATTCAAAAAAAAAAAAAGAAACCCATCACCTAACCTTGCCTCAACACCTTGAAAACTATGCCTCTAGGGTCCACTGCCTTACTTTGGATGATCAAGAAATAGAAAAATAGCTTAATATGTGGAACAATGAGTTCACATGGTCACAACACTTTCTTTTGACCCTCCAATAAAACACATGTTATCAACCAAATGAAAAGTCAAATCACATAGTGAGTGCTTGCCTAGGTGATTTGGTTTTGATGTGTTCACATGGTTACAACACTTGCGATCCTCTCATGCCATTAATCAAACTAAACCAAATTCTCTAGTGAGTCCATCCTACTGTTACTACCTCGAATTACATTAACAACCCACTAACATATAAAAAAGTAGAGATTTTCTCTGGGATCTACTACCTTACTATGACAATTTATAAATGGCCTAACATGTTTTTTGATGAGTATGGTAGCCTAACATGTTGAGCATTGAGTTAACACGACCACAATCAGTTGGGAAACCGAGTCACTGAATGAGTGCATACATGGGTGATTTGGTTTTTATGAGTTCACATGATCACCAGTGAGTGCATGGCTTTTTTTTATGCCAAATGATACAAAAAACACCCATTAACATATGAAAAAATAGAAACTACCTCTAAGGTCTGCTACCTCACTATGATAATCAAGAAATGCCAAGGTAGCCTAACATGTATTGTGATGTGTTTATATTGGTCACAATACTTTCTTGTGGCCTTCCAATGTAACATTAATTTGCTCTCAATCAAAAGTAAAACCAAATCACCTATTAAGTGCATGCTTGGGTGATTTGATTTGGATGAGTTTACGTGGTTACAGCACTTTCTTATGACCCTCCAATAAAGTCATAAACATGATAATAATTTTTTTTTGATCAATTAAACATGCTAATAATCAAAGTTAAAACCAAATCACCTTGTGAGTTCATGCCTAGGTGATTTGATTTCGATTAGTCTGCATTGTCACAATGCTTTTTTTGTAATCTCCAATAAAACAGACATTCTATCAATCAAATGAATGATGAAATTACCCATGGAGTGCATGCTTGTTTTTGCTACTTTAAGTGATATATGAATAACCGCTATGATATGATAAAATGGAAACTATCTCTAGGATCCACTACCTTACTAGGAATATCAACAAAAACAAATACGAAGGTAGTCTAACATGTGGAGTGATGAGTTCACATAATCATAATGCTTTCTTGTGACCTCTTAAAAAACCCAAACATACTATAAGTCAAAGAATAAACGAAGTTATCCATATTTATCAAAAAAAATAAAAAATAAACCAAGTTATCCATTGAATGCATGGCTGGGTGATTTTGTTTTGACGAGGTGACATAATCACAACAATTTCTTGCAATCATCCAATAGAACATAAACATTCTGCTATCAATCAAATGAAAGCCAAATAATCCACTGAAGACATGTCTGCTATTGTTGCGTCAAATCCAAATGATATAAGAACAACCCATTGACGTATGAAAAAATAGAGACTACCTCAAGTGTATACTACCTAACTTTGACAATCAAGTAATATCAAGTAATACCAAGTGTATGAAAAAATAGAGACTACCTCAAGTGATAAGGTGCTCATGGAGTGTTGCCTCACTTGGTCCCCAAGTTAATTTTTACATGGTGCTGTTGGGTACTTTTATATTCTTAATTTTCTGAGATTGTGCTGAAAAACAGGCATTATTAAACTAAATTATTCAGTTTGAGTTAAAATACTAGTTTCTTTTTATTATTTTTCTCACCTGTTAGGGATCGATTAAGAACTAAGATGCATATTGTCTTGAACCCTCAAGGACTTCAAGACCTGAACTAATAAGCATTGGAAGAACTCAAAATTTTGTCCTAGAGGCTCACCCCTTTATCTTCTGAAATTTCTTTTTTTTTTCCCTTCCATTTTTTCATGAATATGTTGTTTTCTATGTTTTGAATGAAGTTTATACATTTTTTATGAAGATTATAGTCAATGAATAGTGAAAGATGGTTGTTGCTTGCTATGAAACCTAGGGAATTGCCCTAGGATTCGTGGTTTTTATTGGCCTAGGTGGCACCTTGGTCCATGTCCAAGCAATTAGGTGACAAGGTGCCCCCTATAGCCTAGCCTCACCTTGATACTTTGAAAACTATGCAGATAAGAGTGCAAAGTATTATTGCAATTAAGGCCCTGTTCGTTTACAGGTAACTTGGGGTGGGAAAGTTGTCAACTTTCCTATGTTTGTTTGCAAACATTTGTGGGGCCTATGGAAAAATAACTTCCCTCCTGGGTAAGTATTTTGGCCACTTACCTAGAAAAGTCTTATCCATCAGGGAGGGAAAGAGACCAAATTTTGTTCAGACAAAAATAACTCTACAAGTGGTCACTTTATATCATAATCATCATCCATGCCTTGTCCCAACTAAATGGGATCTACTACATGAATCCTGTTTCGCCAATCTATTTTATTTAAAGCCATATCCACAATTAAATTATTAGTGCTTAAATCATTTCTTACTACTTGTACCCATGTCTTTTTTGGTCTACTCCGAGATCTTTTAGCCCCTTCAATGTGTAATAAATCACTTCTAACTGGTGCAGTTGGTTGTCTTCTATGCATGTGTGCAAATCTTAGTCTACCTTCTCTCTCTCATTCTATCACTTATTGGAACTACTCCTAGGTTCCTTACTCCAATTCCCTATCATTTCTAGTTTTTCCACTCATCCATCTTAGCATTCGCATTTCTGCCACAATTTTCCGGACATGTCATTTCTTGACTGCCCAATACTCGGCTCCATACAACATGCTGGCCTTACAACTGTTTTATAGAATTTTCCTTATAATCTATAAGTGGTATTCACCTATCACATAAAAGTCTAGATGCACCCCTCCCATTTTGTCCATGCTGCTCTAATTCATTGGGTGACATTTGGTTCTCTCTTGGTCTCCAATCCATAGTGTTTCTTGACTTACACTCCTATTATTACATGTCATATACTTTGTTTTAGTCCTACTTATTTTAAAACAAGAGATCACTTTACCCAGGGTAAAATGGTAATAGATGAAAAAACGGTCACTGTACCCAGGAAAGTAGGTGAGGCAAAAGATCATGGTTAAATTGGAGTGTCTCATTTACTGATTTGCCCAGGAAACACTTACCCAGGTATGTGTATTTACCTAAGTAATTTATTTGTAAATTAACAGGGCCTAAATAGATGCAAAACTGAACTGGGTGCAAAATTTGCATTTTGTTCAGATTTACATTGCAAACAAACATAGCCTAACATACCCTTTGTTAGAATGCATTTTTTTTAATCAATAACAGTGGATTTTATTAAAGATTGAGAAAGTACATAGTTAAGGAGCTAAAAAATCTTAACTCCCTAATATGTCAATGTACACCCAAACCGTAAATCAATTACAACACAGCCTAAAAAATAGAGTTTCTGTTCACCCCTTGCCTACCTAAACCATCTGCCAATGAGTTTGCACTTCTCTTTACCCATGTGCAACTAACTTCCATGTCCTTGCTCAGCCACTTAAATTTCCTCTTTTCATTGCTGTAGTTTCAGAGCTTGGAATTGTCCTCTTTTAACCATTTCACTACAATTTCAGAATCACCTTCTATGATCAATTTCTTAATATGCATGTTTGTACCCCTTCAAGAGCTCCTAGTATCTCAGCCCTCGAGGAGTCTCCCACCCCAATTGGACCAGAATACATAGCTAACAGATTCCCTTTTTCATCTCTTGTCACTCCCCCTATTCCGGAGGGCCCTTTGTTAGAATACATGGAAAACAGTGATACAGCACAGAGCTGTTGGCAATAGCTGAGTTGTACTTGAATTCCTGAGTAATCTAGGCCAGGTAGAATTTTATTGGGGGTGTAGAATTCATCTTGATTGTCGTAATAAATCCTGGTTAAGGCCAGCTAGATGATCATAAACACCATACCTGCCATGTTTATTGGGATGGTTCAAAGGATCAATGAGTTCTACTTGTGGACTGAAAAGGTATTTTAACTAACAAATTGATAACCAATCAGTTGGTATTTCACTCAATTTCACCTGGAGCTATTATTGGTTAAACTTTAGTACTTTATACCTTTTAGGTACAATTCATCATCTGAGTTTTATCCCAATTATATGGGGTTTTGCTACATGAATCCTATTTTATGTTCCATTTTGTTTAGTGTCATATCCTTAAATTATGAGCGTACAGGAATGAAAAGAAAAATTCAGGACCCATGACAATAAGGCTGTGTTTGGTTTGAAGGAAAAGGTAGGGAAAGGAAGGGAAAATCATACGACCCTAAGAGTTTGGCTAAAGTCTTACAATCGAGCTTGGGACCAGCAGTGTATGATGCTCACACTGGCGGAGTTGTACCTTTTCTATGTACAATTACCATTATAAAATTAAGACAGGTGTGGGTGGTGTGGATTTGGTTCCCTAGAGGCGGGGTGCCATACACTAGACCCAGTTACGGGTCAGTGGCAGCAGGGATGCATGCGAAGCTCACTGGTATTCACTATGCAGAGAGCCTACATTCCCATGGTTCATCTCCAAACAGAGGGATGTGCAATGACTAACGGAACTAATAGCCTAAAACAGGTGCTTGGCAGGGCTTTTCTTTTAAATGATGATTCTAATTCATTTCATGTGCATTGCCTTGATATTCTGTCTACGATGATAATTTTTGCCTGGAACTCTGATGCAAGATTGTCATTTCATGATAATACCGATTTTTGGTTCTATGTTGGTTAGATGATGGTTGACGTGTAGCGCGATTTTCTGTAAAATAAATAATGAAGCTTTATTAACAGCAATCACTTGGCAGGGGTATGGCAAGTCTGATGCTTGATGGAGGGGCAGATCATCGCTGATTGTTGGATCCTGGTTCCGTTGTTGATCGGTTGATATGTTTCTTCTGCTCTGTTTCCGTTTCTACAGATTTTCAATATCCATTGAATTTTCTTTAGTGAAAGAGACTCGACTTACTATTCTCTTTTAAGCCAACAAGCCGACGGCCCCTCACCATGACACRGTACACTCTGGTTGTATCTTTTTTCGCATCAGCCTTTAGTCTCCGACTATGAAGGCGGAACAGATAAAACAGAATTCAATACAAATAATGAAATAAATATACAAAATTTCAATGGATAATACTAATCAGCTATCGTTTATTATTTTTACAATCTTCGTCGTTACTGATATGCCAACATTTCTTGCAGGATCACTATCTAGTGTTGCATCAAATAGTTTTGGACTTTGAGGGATGAGGTTACAGAACTCATGCTACTAAATTCATAAAAAAAATAACGTTTATCAGACCTAGAGCAGGATTTTTATAAGAAAATTCTAACGTGAACTTTGGGGGTAGTGTCAAGTTAGTATCTGAATTGTCAGTTATCACTTGATGACATGTGCAACATAAAATATTTGAAAATGTCAAAGCTATCTTTCAAAATAAGACATTATTTCATTGTTTTCTACCTTGATATTGAACTGGTTGGGAAAATTTTCCCTGCCCATTATGGACAGGAGTTCCTACCCAGAATGCACTACTGTTTTATGCCTTTTATTGCTGACAACAAATCTAAGACTTATTATCCTCTTATCTTCACGCCTTTGGTGTCTATATGTCTTTAATCTCTCACCCAGAAAACTATGTTTCTTGAAAAGCATTTTTTTTTCCTATTTTTCCTGGGCTTCTTCTCAAGACCTTGAATCAATTCCATTCTAGAGATCGTGGTTTTGCATTGAACCCGTTATCCAACCTTTTTGTTTTTCTGGAGACATTGTTTTGCAACTCATCTTTTTATTGAAGGCTATTAATATGGTTTGAGCATGAAGCCAAGAAGAAAACATTTTGTTTTTTATTTGCTATGATATTAAATGTCATTTATCTCTTGTTTACAATCTTGAATATGTGACTTGTGGTTAAAATTTCGTATGATCAATGTGATGGTTCTATCGGAACTACAGTTGCTGAAGACACTGATTATCGATTGAGGTGCTTGAATTGGCTGCCATGAGAGCGTGAGGTTTCTTTGTTTCAGAATATATATTCTTTATTCTTGCTTCAAAGTGTGAAAATTGCTCTCATCATCTTCTTGGATGATTGGTCAAGCATTTATTGCCAGCTTTCCTAATCTCTTTAATCAGACTCGGTCTTGCATCTATTGCCAGCTTGCTCCTATTCCATGGAGCCAAGTTAATATCCATACGGATTGGTCAAGCACACAATTCAGTTATTTTCATTGAATTAAAATTTTCTAAGCCATTTTAATAGGAATCAGAATTGGGGGAGCAAACAAATAGAGGAAATCAAAAGTTCAAAACAAAACTCAGTAGCGCATGCAATTGTCCGAGTCATCTGCTGCAACTACACTTCGAGAGATTGTCATAACCAGCTTGATATCGGAGGCGGTTACTAATCTAGAATACCAATCATAAGAAAATTAGATGATAGATGAAGTTGTGAAGGGCATTTTTGTCTTTTTACATGATACTTAATGTCCATTGACGATTTTGGACTAACTTGACATTTTATGAAAGTTTAGGTACTGCAGTGACATGTTTGAAAGTTCGGATACTAACTTGACACTACCCCCAAAGTTTAGCCTACTTAAGTGAAAATTTTCCTTAATTTTCAATGCTGTCCTTTTTGGATGTGTTTCTCTCTATATCTCCTGGGCATCTTTTGGGCCTTGTTCATTTAGAAAGAGGCCACTTACTCATGTAAATATACTTACCAGGGTAAGTGTATTTACCCATGTTCTTTTTTGTTAAATTTACTCGGGTAAATGAGACCTTTCAACTAGGGGTGCTCATGGTTCGGTTAACCGAATTGTGGGGCTTTTTTTAGGACCGAACCGGTCCTATCGGTTTTTGGAAAATTGATAACCGAAATTGAACCGAAACCAGTTGATTAACCGTTAGTTCGGTTTGTCGATTTTTTTGATTTTTCAATTTTTATAATATATATTATAAAAATATATATATATAAATATATAATAAAAAATTATATATATAATGCATTTTTATTAATTTATAATATATAAAAAATATATAATATACATAAGTATATATAAAATATATAGAATATATGTATAATGGTCGGTTCGGTAAACCGTCGGTTTTTTATATTGGTTAACTGAAACCGAACTGGTACCTTCGGTTTTTTTAAAATACCGAACTGAAACCAAATCAATTGGTTCGGTTAATTGATTTTTTTTTTGGTTTGGTTTCGGTCGACTCAGTTTTTCAATTTTTTTTTGCTCACCCCTACTTTCAACTTCCCCATGTTCTTTTGCCTCACCCACTTTCATAGTTAAGTGGTTAATTTTTCTATGTTTTGTCTTTGTACCCTTGGGTTCAGGTCCATGCTTTTTTAATTATTTTTTTAATGGGCATTTTTGACATATTATATTTTGACATATTAATTTTCCCAAGTGGGAGAAGGGTAACACTTTCCTGAGTAAGTGATACCCAAGATAAAGGCATTTATTGTGGATCCCACCTAAATCTTGAAAAAGAACATGGGAGAATTGGTCAATGGGAATCAAAATTCCATTGATCGACTTTCCCCCCCTTCCAAAATCCGCAAAACAAACGAGGCCTTGATTGCAGAGATGATGGATACACGTGTTCGAGTAGGCTCAGTTTGGAAATATTACAAATGCAAAAATATACGATCCAAATACATACAAAATATAAGGTTTTTTACTCTACATATTTGCATTTGTACTCCTTCCAAATTAAGTCGTAATATCAATTATTATCTTGCGGCTCCTTTCCACGGTGGATAAAAGAGCTACGTCAGCTCGTGCTTTTAATGGTAAAACATAGATGACATGGTTTGTTATCCGCCGTTGAAAGATGCATTTTTATTATAAAAAAGGGAAATTTTCTAAAACTCACAATGAGTTTTCAACATGTCTCTTAAACGTATCACAACTTTTCAAAATGTCTAAAACTCATTATATCAGTAAATTTTTATTTTCCAAAACTCATCTTCCGTTAGTGCACCGCTAATGCTTCTTAACAGAGGTGTCAATGTCAGCATAAATAACAACTTTCATGACCAAATTACCCTTGAATGGTGAGTTAGAGGAAAAATAGTCTTTTTCAGTTTTCAATTTTCTTGTTTTTTTTTTTTTGCATTTTAATGTTTTGTTATAATTTCTAATGTTTTTTTATAATTTCTGTTTTGTACATTTTTCTATTTTTTTAAATCTATAATTTTTTTTGTGTTTTTTCTACAATTTTTATTTTCTGATTTTGTTTTTCAATTTCTATAGTTTCTATAATTTGAAAATAATTTTTATTTTGTTTGCAATTTCTATAATTTTTATATTTTTTGTAATTTCTATATTTTTATGTATTTTATATTTGAAAATATTTTTTTTGAACCTTTTACTTTTTTTATGTCTAAATATTAAAATGATAATATATTATCATCCGTTAATTTATTTTATATATATTTTATATTTTTCCATAAAAGTTAAAATATCAATATAATAACACCTATTGGCCTGTTTAACATCAAATTAATAACATGATGAGCTTTAGATATTTTGAAAAGTTGGGATGAATTTAAGAGAAATGCTGAAAAGTAATGGTGAATTTTAGAGAATTTCCATAAAGCGATTGCAAGCACGTATGCAAATTGTACACAATTTGGCTGGTGAGTCCTACGATTACGAAAAGCGGCAGAAAGAATTGATTGATTCTGCAAGAAATTCATGCCCAGGCCCTGAATTCTTTAATTTTTTTATTAAAAATTAGCCTTTTCCAATCAACAAGACAAGAGGACCCACGACCCACCTTTAGAATATGTTTGATTCATGAATGGGCTTTGACGCTGTCAACCTGACACCGTGACACGAGCTTCTCTGTCCGGTGTCGTAAATCGTTAACTGGCATTTGAAAAATAGTGTGAGACCTCTTTGGTGGTTCGTCTTATTTTGGCAGGAGAGGAATGGGCCCGATGGCGTTTAGGGTTCGGCTATGCTTATGCGATGATATCGGAAAAGGCTCATAACCAATAAAAGTGATAAGCAATCAGTCGGTAGTCGGTAGTCATCAAAATTCATCCCGGTATCATATCTTTCCGGCGTCATAGTTTTGGTAATTCCAACTCTGACGATCAGACGATGCCTGCAGTTTTAGAAATGTTCATCATTTAGGGCCATTACTGTACTGAGGAGGTGGTTTTCTCTGTTTAGCATTAGAGAAGTAGAAACTATTCTACCCTTTATATTCTCACCTGTCATTTGAAATCCAACAAGGTAACAATTGCCTATCACAGCAGTGGGAAATATATTTATATTTTGATCCGAAGATTTTGCATGCATACTCGCTGTGCTACTTTGGATGAAAGATCCCAACAATTCAACGGTTCCATCTTTCTGTACAGGGAATCTACAGCTGCTGCTTCCTGGGAGCTGGGATATTCTGATTCTCTCAGAGGAGCAGATACTGTTTGTCAAAGAAGATTGTATTATAGTGTTTAATGAGAGAACACTGAACCAGGGATRTAAAGATTTACTTTGGATAACTCTCAGCAACATGTAGGGACCACCCAATTGATTAAGTTCATGTGCATTCTCGTCATCCTGCTCAGCATACCAATTGTAACGTCGCGGCCACTTGAGCTGTGAGGGCAGCAGACTGGACTCTGGAGCATCTCTCTCTGTGAGCAGTCCAGATATTACTGAGGGAGCTACTGGCTTTTTGCGTCTGTGTAATTGTGTGAGAGAGAATAAGTACAGTGATCTGTCTATTTGGTCTTGCAGTCCTCTGTCACTTTCAAATTAATTAAACCCTACCTATGCATTTGCATTGCAAATTGCTGTTTAATTATGCTTATTAATTCTGCCCCAAACGGAATTATGGGAGGGATTTTTGCCGTGGAATCTGAAAGTCGCAATATTTTAGGCATGTTTGCTTAATTGCTTCCGCCGATCATTTACTTGACTTCTTTAAAGGGAAGGTTGGTTTGGTTAGTTGTTTCCAACCAGCTGATTTGTGGGGGGCTGTAATTTGATTCCATTTCTGCACTCCAGTCCAAGCACAGTCTCCAACTCCAGCACTCATTACGAGGAATATTATGAGAATTAAAAATGAATCGAGAGTTAATACTTGATCAGTTCTCGATGCAATGT